TTCCTTGCTTCAGGCGTTGGCTGTTCTCATAACTGGGACTGGGAGTTATAGGACAGACAGTTTTATATTTTATAGGTCTGCCTGCAAATAAAAATAGAGAGATGTATTATCTTTCACCACTTAAAATAAATGCTCAGTTAGTATTAAAAGCCTAAAACTGTAGCCAATAGCAGATAAAACTCCCCAGTTAAGCTGACAATTTTCCCCTCACAAAGAGGGGCCAGGTTTGATCCTATCCGCAATAATCAGCCGTGCATAGACAAACTGAGCTGTATCTCTCCCATTAGCAAAGCCCGGTGCAGAAAGCAGGCGTGAGGTAATACGAGACAATAGCTCTTTCACAACCATTGGGGTCCTATTATCTCCCGCCTTTATGCCACAGGCCAATATTTACTATGTCTTATTTTATTTTTAAGGCGATCCTTATCTCTTGCACCCTATGCAATACTTTGCACAAGGATGGCCACAGCTTCCTCAGATCAAGCGATGCCTGATGGCTTGGAAGCACTCTCCTTCTAGTTCACTCCAAAATTTTCATAACTTGCAATTTTCCTCCCACTAGTTTACCTACAATAGCTATAAGGGGAGATTATCTAATACCACTTATTTAATTTTGACCAGAGCATTACAAATGACAATACCTTGATTTTCTGTAAATATTAACTAAAAAGGATCACTATGAGAGCTAGTGAAATATTTTTGAAACTTCTTCTAGGATTTTTTCACAAATCAATTCACTATCAAGATTTGTAGTATTTGGCACTTTAAAAATGAAAAATTTCCTTTGAATGTTCTTGTAATTTAATATTTTTCAGAAGAGTTTTCTGTTTTTTCTGGCCAGTGTCCTTAAAATAAGACTATTTTACATTCATTCCTATACTATGTTCATTTTTAATTTCATACTCACAACTAAGGTCAATAGGTATCCTGCTATGCATAAAGTTAGGTACATCTATAGTGGTTTGCAGGTTCAGACCTTTAGACATTAAAACTTTGTCCACACTCATCTGGAAAGCCAGGGATCCACTTTTCTTTATACTGTGAAAGTTTTGCCAAGGATATCACATTTCTTTAATCCCAGTTTCCTGGAAAGGTGCTAACACTTTCCCTGCAGAGTGTGGATAGCCGAAAATGTGGAGGCAATAATCAGTAGTTGATGGAATACAGGCCTGTGTTTTAAGAAGCTTATTACCATCCGTGATCCTCAGCCTTCTTATGCCCTGTGCTGCTGGGACATTTTTTCTGGTTGCTGTCTCAGCAATTTAGTCTCATAGTTCTAATGCATTAGTATAATGTGACAATGTCTGGACTACGAGTACTCTGGAGGAATGCATGAGAGCCACAAAAATAATTATAAAATGCTTTAAATAATAGTATTTTAACTTACATTTATAGATAATTTACTTCAATCCCTGTTGCAATTTGTAAAAAGCTTTTAATTTGGAAAAAAGTTCAGTGCTATTTGAGTTCAGAAGTCTTTCCTCCTAGCACGAAGTTGTTGTAAAAAGCTTTGATATAGTTTTTGTCAGATAGAAGAGAGAACTTGAAAGAAATTGCCCAAATGACAAGCGCTGTGCAACAAGCAGTAAGATATCAGCCACCCTTCCTAAGTTGCATCACCTTAGTTCCTGGGACTTTGTTTAAAGTCAAACCTAATTTCTTTGCCATCTGAAGAAAGGCTGATCGTACAGCCACATTGTAACTTCAGGAATTAAAAAAAGTGGTAAATCTATTCAAAGAAATACTGGATTCTTTTCCTTTGAATCCTGGTTCATGAGCTCTTTGTGAGCTCAAGAACTTCGTCATAACATTAACCTTATTCTCTATATTCATGCAGAAAAAGAAAAAATGTTTTTGACAGGTTTTAATTTGAAGTTGTAAGAACCAGCAGCTTAGACTTTACTTAAGAAATACTAGTAATTAAATACTTTACGAACAGTGATAGGGTCATAGTTAAAAGCTGAAGTGCACTTAGGGAGGTATTAAAGGGTGTAATGGGAGGAATCATAAGCCAGTTGTATTGGGTTTCAAGAAGCAAACCAGTTGTTGTGTCAGTCACACACAGCCTGCTGCATTTAAATCAGAGGTATAGAATTACTTTAGAGCCTGGCTGATGAGACAGTAAAAAGGTCACAATTCTGAAATCTTGGCTCCTTTTCCAAGAGATCATTTTACTGAGTCTCTGCCATGCTCACCTCGCGCAGAAAGAATATCTTTCATAGTCAGAAAATTGACATTGATTATCTGATCAAGCAAAAGACACTATGGCAATTTTTCCACATTATATTCCCATTGCATCTGTCTAACAAGGCAAGATTTATATTTCCTTTTGCTATTATTCCTAAAACTTCATTCCTTCCTTTGTTAGAAAATTCAAAATTATCTTGCCCCACTCTTCTGTATTATTTGTCACTGAATTTCTTTATATTATATTGTCCCCATATCATGCTGGAATTCACCAACTGTTTCACTCAAACCATAAACACAATTTCAGATCTCTCTGAATTAGTCCTACCTAACTGGTCACTTGTTTTTTTCAGTGGTCCAGCCAATAGTTCTTGACGACTGACAGGTCTTTGATATTATCTATATAACTAACTCACAGTGACCAACACTGTCTACAGATGACTGGCAAGGCAAGGAATAGATGGGTCTTTGGCTCTTTCACCCTGCTGTGAGTGTGAACAACTGCAGTTGATTTGGTGCTGTGGCTCTCATAGGAGTGAAGGAACTTATCCTACATTATTCCAAAGGAATGATGACAATTGACATAAGATCTGGTCAAAAGTCAGGATTTCTGTTCTGCAAGAAACACATTCTGTTTCAAAACAGTTCTTTAAGGAATTTATAAATTTTACTGATGGCTGCTAAATCCCCCCACAAATACATTCAAAAGAGTTCCGATTCTCAAAGTGAAAAACTCTTGAGCCATGAACACCTTTGCCCCAATGTACCAGGCTTATCCGTCCCTCCAGGACACCTAACTGTCCTAGGGGACAGGCAGGAAGCTGGGCCGCTTCTGTGTCACTCATAACCTTGTAACTTGGACTCAAACCCTAAATCTTCTCCTGCGGCAGGAGAGAGGCTGCAAGTCCTGAGTGCCCGGGATGAAGGTGGCTTTTTCAGGGCTCCTGGGCTGCCTGCCATACGGCTTGGTTCTCCAGAGCAGTGGGCTGCATCTTTTTAGTGTCTGGTGCCAAGTTTGGTTTCTGAAGCCTCAAAACTTAGTCACCAACACCAGCCTGAGTCTGTTCAGTGCTAAACATGGCAGTAATTTATCACAGCCATTACAGATTGTAGCAGCCAAGACAGCGGCAAGCCTCCCAGTTTCCCTTGCCCCGACAGGGTGCTCAAGGCTTGATGCAAGCCTGGTTACTGAGGTCTTCGAACTCCCTGCCGGAGAACTACAAGTTAATAACTGGCCAAGTCAGCACACCTAATATTTCCAGCTGATTTATTACTTTTGCTGTCTTCATTTCTCGCCTAGTTTACATAGCAAGGTTGCCCAAGGACCATAAATTGTGCACCCTTCACCTCAAGCAGAAATTTAATGATGTAGTGAAACACTGATATCATCTTAGTAATCTGACTAAGAAATTGGTCAGGGACTAAGCAGGTGAATCTGTCTCTCTTTCAGCAGAAATTTGTGGTGGTAATCTTCCTTTGAACATTTTCCATTCTGATGAAACATAATTTCTGAACAACAACAAAAAATTAACAGAAAATTGCAATCCGCCTATAACTGAGACGCATCTAAAAGCTGTCATATTCCTAGGCATCAATGCCACAAGTTTTACAGGTTATAACATTACTTGCACAATGGTATCTGAAATTCCTGACGTCAGCTGCGGACATCTGCAAAGGCAGATATCAGTAGTTTCCTATTACTGAGAATAGTCTGTAAGAAAACAGGAAAATGTCAACAGGTTCCATTTTTGCAACGCAGGATGACAAGGCAATGCTTACGTAGTCTATGATAAACCTTATTTTACAAAGAAATAATTACTCCATACACTCAGTTCAAATGGTTACAAATATAGATAATACCACAACTATTTAACTATGCTGCAGTACTTGTCAAGCATATGGTCCTAAAAATACAATCCTGCTTTTAAGCGTGTATGAGACAGAGTTTAAGCCAGGCAAAATCCCGTATATATTAGTAGAACTTAGCTTTAAAACAGAGAGTCAGGGCATGGTATTTTATTATTGAAGAAATAGGTGATTGTAAATATTCTTGAACTAAAAGACAGGACCTACTTCAGGAGAAAACTTTGGAAGTTGAACTTCAGTCATGCACTTACCCAGATATCAGTCCCCAAGAAGACTGCCTTGAAGATTCCCAGCAGTACACAAATGGCTTGAGATCATTCCCAAAACATCTGAAGCTGGTAGGACTTAGTAGGCTTTGGCCCTTCTCTTTTATCAATGAGAGCATTGCTGTCATATTAATGTAATATTTAATAATATATGAACCATTTTGTTGCACACTGATGTTGTTATTTGTTTTCTACCACTAAAAGCTACTGAGATTGATTATTTTTTAGTGATTGTCAAAATTAATGTTCTAAAATCCACACATAGATGTCTTAAATCATTGACACGGATTTTCAAAAAGGCTGAGCATCCATTGCTTTCTGTGTAGTCTGCACTTTTGTACCATAACTATCCTTTGGATTGTGAAGATTTAATGTAAAGGTCTTTGGGCAACATTTGAACAGTTAGAATGATGTATATTTTAATTTGGCATCTAACTCATATCTGTCTTAATATATGTACTGAATCAAAAAGTAAACAGATTGCAAGCCACACTGTTTCCTTATTACAATCCTTTATCTTATCACAGTTTATCATGCCATTCTGAAATCATATGAAATCAATAAATGTTGGTTAGAAAATATTCATGTCTTTACTGTTTAAGTAGGCATATAAAAACCCAAGTGTAAGTTAGAAATTCAGAAGAAAATTTAAAGAAAACAGTACCTTGCAAGGAGAAAAAAATGGCAAGTTTGAACTGGAGTTATGAAGGTAACAGTGGTAAAAGCCATCTTTAATAGAAAATCAGATTTATTTATAATATATTGAATATTTCTTTCTTTTTCTTATAAAAATTCTTCAGAACTACATGGGTTATTAACGTATCAAGTATCTGTATTATGTATACAATTGGTTCCAAGAGAAAGTGTCATTAATTCAGTATTGGTACAGAATTTGAAGTAGAAAACGTCAATTATTTATATATTTTGCCTAGGACCTGACCACTGGCACAAGTTATACCCTATTGCCAACAGAGACCATCAATCTCCTATTGACATTAAAACCAAGGAAGTCAAAAAAGATGCATCTCTGGGGCTTCTCTGGATCATTTGGAAACCTCCCACATGCAAGGAGATTGTCAATGTTGGACATTCATTCCAGGTGAATTTTGAAGATAAGGAAAATCAATCAGGTTAGTAAAAAGGGGATCTGGAGAGGGGAATGTGAGACATTTTCTTTTTTCATTTTCTTTTTCTCTAATTTATATAGAAAACAAGACTAGTTGCCTTTCAGGAGTTTTTGTATAGATTAGGGTATGCTTGCTAATTTTGTTATACTAGTTGGCAACAACCTTTAAGTGTCACAGAAGATCCAAATTAAGTTCTTTAAAATTAGGACTTGTTGGCAAGTGTTTTTGTGTTAATGGCAAAAGGACTGGTAATTTCCCAGTAGGAAACCTCCAGGATAATCACTGATTTGGGGAGGGGAAGGTAGGAGGAGAGTTTCTGAACACAGTTACTCAATCGTGCTTTTTTTCTTTAATCAACATGCGGTAGGAGATTTATACATATGTAAAAATTACTCACAGTATAACTCCATATGAAATCAGTCTGGACTGAGTTTTTTTCCTCAGAGAGTCTTATTACCTTGATAGCAAAGGAGGAGATTTCTTTGTCTGATGTATAATATTGCAAGTGCTGCAAGAACTCCAGGCACATATTTCTAACCATCATGCACAATTACAGGTGCCTATCACCATAGTGGGAATCAATACACATTTATGTGCTTCTAAGGAAGGAATTAATGATAATGACCAATTAACAGTGTCAATAACATCCGAGTACACCTGTGGCATCTCATAATCTAAATTCAGAAAACAACAAGTACCTATAACTGTTACTTCTGTGAAGAAAGAGACCTTTAAAATACTGTCATAAATAATACAAATTTTAGTGGGAAGTGAATTCCATGAGGTAGGACTGTTTCTTCTGCAGTTATTAAAATCCAGTTACTGTTTCTGGTAAACTGCTGTTTTTCTGCATTACTTTTCCTTTTTATTTCTCTCTGGAGTAGAAGCTGTATTCACACATATTTCGCCTGAATTTTTGAACCATATTGAGGAGACATACAGATTTACTATAACCAACGCACTCATACACATACCTAGAATTAAAACCTTCAATAACTTCGGCTTAACTGCACAAACTGTTGGGTTTGTTGGTTTTTGGTTTTTTTCTCCAAAAGTTTAAAAATTATCTAATATCAAAACATGTTAACATGGAGAAAACTGCTTACACCTTATAAAATCTTTGAAATCTATAATGTGCCTGTCAGGAAGACTTTATTGATTAATGTTTTTACCTTACTTCCTGCATTTACAGTGCTGACAGATGGACCTCTCACTGGAACATATAGATTGCCAACCGGATGAGCAAGGCTCAGAGCACGCTGTGGATGGAAAGAAATATGCCTCAGAGGTAGAGTCAATGAAAGAAAAGTCAAAGTCAAGTTTTCGAAGTCCAGTCATATATATCATCCCTAGGAAAAAAAAAAGCATATGTAGATAGCTTTGATAATTATTTTATTTTGCAAAAGCAATACTGTCTCTGTGTGTGCAAAGTTGACTTTGCGAGAGCAAATTGGGTTTTGTGGTCAGTACTTATTAATCTAAATTTAGATAATCTAAATCCATATTTAACTAATGAAATAGGGCTGAAAGGTGCAGGTATAAAGTAAGTAACATTTGCTAAATGTTTAAAAGGTTAGCTGTACAAGTACATTCAGCTTAATACTAAATCAGCTGCTTTTTAGAGAGTCTGATCATCCAGTGCCCCACAATAATTGTAGCTGGAGCTCCTCAAAGCTACAAGCATGCTGATCACTGTGAGGTGGTTTTTTTCCTGGCTTTTCAAGAACAGCAAATATGAAGGAAACCCAGAAGAAATTAATGAAGAGAAAGAGGTAAAAAAGTTATCATCTAGTAAGGGCCCCAGCACCTGTCAAGTACATTAAATGTCTTCAGATAATGAAGCAAGGTCTGTTTTACAAAAATTAAAAACCACCTCTAAAGTAATAGATTTTGTTTTCCAGTGTGTTAGTGTCCTGCTAATAGTCATCAACATGCCAACAAACAATTCATGTTCAATCCATGTAATGTTATCTTTGGCAGCTTTGTAGATTTTAGGAACATTACAACATGACAATCTAATGAGACGGATTATACCTTTTTAATTTAGGCATTAGGAACACACAGCCAGAAGCCTGTTCCTAATAGGAAATTTTCCGCTGTTGAGAGTGCTAAAGCTATATCTCATTTGATACAGCCAAGATAAGAAAGGGGTGTCCCTTTAGAATTGCTTTCTGCTGTAAAGAGATAGTGCACTTAAGCTGTGTTTAAGCAGCACATGATTAAGTGTTTATTAGTTTGCTTTTAATCAATAGTTTAAATATGTTGAAACAGTAAAGATGTTAAGTTGAAAAGGCAGGAATTCAGCTTTAAAAAATACCAGAAATTTTTAAAAATAACTGATTTAAATCAGAATTTTAAAATTATGTGCATTATATGGTAATTTCCATGTCCTGTCTCTATATTTTAGAATCTCCTCCTTGTATTTTAAGAAGTTTTGATATTTTCTGTGACCATGTTGCTGAGACATTATACAAATAATCCTGGACTAGACTATTGCCATAGAGTTAAGTAGTTGCTAAGGAATTGCTAAGCATATTCATAGGTGAGAAGGCATTAAAAGAAATTATTATGATTTCCAAGTTCTGTAAGTTTTTGGAAATTTGTATTTCACATGAAAAATAGCTCAAGACATAATAAGCAGCATACTAGGCTGAACAAAAGTTCCTCAAAACTCTATTAAAGCAAAACTGAAAAGTTGTTGAAATATCTATGTTGAATATAAACCATCCACAGCCATGGTGTTCATGGCCCTACCATCAATCTTTAGCAGTAAATGGGACTGTTGTGAATAAAAATTGCACCATGTGTAATAAAGTGGTTACACTCCTCAAAATGCTATTTAATGTACTACATTTTTAAAGACATGAAAATAAAGGCATGCACAGGAGACTGTTAGCAGTAGAGTTAGAAAAATATATGTCCCTTGTAAGTTGTGATTTTCCACATCTCTGTGTACTTATCCCTAAATTGCTCTCAGGAATATGTGCAGTTCTGCCTACCCCAAGATACAGCCTGGGTATGAGCCCTGACAACGCCAGGGCAATTCAGCAGAACGCTGTAAATCTGCAGGCGTTCACGAGCACGCTCTCAGTTTCACAGGCAGACCCTAAGCGTGCAGAGTGGCATTTCTAACTATTTTACTCTAATCACGGCATTTCTTTGTAATAGAAACAGCAAAAATGACTCTGGCAATTGCTTTTTAGCTTCATCTCATTCACTGGAACTCAGACAAGTATTCAAATGTAGCTGAGGCGTTCGAGAAGCCAGGTGGCTTGGCAATTGTCACTGTTTTCCTGAAGGTCAGTTACTGACACACTGAAAACACGTGTCTCTCTTCCCTTTCCTTATCAAAAATGCAGTCAGTGATGAGGAGCAGGAAAAACACATCTTTGTGTTAAATCGGTGGAGACCACTGTCTCTTACCCTGATTTAGCCCATGTTGCCAGCTGTGCCCATGCTTCTACATGGACGTTTTACCCAAACCCCCATTTCATCCACGGAGCTTTCTAGAAGAGCTGTGCTTTAAAGGCATTAGTGCTAGTGAGCTTGTGGTGTTTCGTCCACCTTTGTAACAGGCAACGCTCACACCTTTTGTGTTTGCTTTCCACTCCATTAACAGTGATGTGAACTTTCACGGAAAGACGGTTTGAGTCACGTGTGCTATTACTGTTTATCAATCAGAAAAGAAAATGCTAAATCAGAAATCTTGAATCCATGCACGTGACATATTTAGCCTTTCAAAACCAACTGAGGCAGGAAAAAGAATTCCTTATTATTAAGGACTTTGTTATATTAAGGAAATATCATAAAATAATAATACATATTATTATATACTGCTAAATTATAATTACTCATAGTTCACATTGCAAGAAAGATACCAGCAAAACCACCTTTCTGAATGCTTTCAAAGCGGATTTCAATGATAAGCACATATGATCAAAGCAATCACATACTTCTGAACCACAGATTATTTTTGCACTACTGTTTTCATTACTCTGTAAAGCAGAAGCAAAACTTCCTGTTATTTCCTCGAAAGTTCTAAATTTTGTCTCGTTCATAGTGGGTTTGCAAAGCTAAACTAATCAACATTTATAAAGCATATTCTTATTCTTGATTCTGTTAGAATAAAACTATTTGTTCAATTGTTACGTATTTAGGATTTTAAAGTATTTTTTTATTTACAGCTTGGCTTAGGCAATGAAAACCTGAAGGGTGCCTTGAAAGCCTTGGATTCAATAAAGACTAAGGTAAACATCATCACAGCCTGATATAACATACAGAGTAGTTAAATTAAAATCTATGCAGTCTCTCATCTGCCTTTTTGAGGACTTGAGAATAATGCAGACGTTCAGCTGAAGGAGGCTGTTGAGACATAGGAGCTGAAAGCATGATCCTGGACGTGAGTTTATGGGATCCCGTAAGATATTTTGTACTGTTGAGGCTGCACCTTGTAGACAGCTATGGGCTCTTTGTGTAAGAGTAAGAGTACACAGTTCCTGATTCCTACCTAATCCTATGCTTCTGTCTGTCTATTTAAAATTACCCCTGGTGTCCACCACCAGCACTCACAATAACCAAACTGAAGTTTTGCTCAGTTGAAGGAGGGGAAAAAAGGGACACCAGAACTGCACTTTTCTTAAGCTGTTTTGTAAAGCAGTGACTATTCCCACTAAGCCTCTCATAAAGGCACAAGATAAGCAGAGATAGAATCTGAATATTTGAATTTTAGTGAAGCATGTTAAAAATACTATACAGCATCTCCCACAGGATTTTAAAAAGGAATGTGGACTTTGACCCTGAACATGCAAGCACTATCAACATGTATGAATACTCACTTTAGCCTCAACAGACAGCTGAAAATTAATTATACACTGAAGTGTTTTGCTTGCTCAGGAGCACAGAGTTCAGTATTTTGAAAAAAAAAACAAAAACAAAAACAAAACACAACCCTGTAGTCAGTGATGACTGAACTCTTTGGTATCTGGTACCATTTGGGGCGGAAGTTGTTTTTTGTTTGTTTTTTTGAGTAACACTGCTCATTGTCAGTGGTGACAGCCTAGATGTATCTCAGTGTCAAACTTATCACCAGGACAAGCAACTCACCTCTGATGCTATGAGGAAACACTAGTGTTTTGAAATGACCTTATCTGATTTAGGAACACACTCCCTTGTAGCCCGAGATGTAAATCCTATCTTACTCATGGGTTTCATGAGTATCTTCCACAGGGTAAGCAAGCTCCCTTTTCTGATTTTGATCCTTCAAGCCTACTGCCTAAATCCATGGATTACTGGACCTACAATGGCTCTCTGACTCATCCTCTCCTCCATGAGAGTGTCATCTGGATTATCTGTAAAGAGCCAATTACTATCAGCTCAGAGCAGGTATGGTATTATAAGGAACAAGACCCTTCTTGTCTTTTAGCTTTAGGGACATTATCACTTTACATTGTATTGCTGCATTTTATTCGGTTTATTTGTCTCATTTTTACTGTAAAATGAGTACTACCTTTACACCACATTATTGCTCTTAATAAACACTTATGATTCTGCCTCAGCCGGGTTAGGCTACTCACATCATACAAAGTCTTGTGGGAATTGAGATAAAATGATTTCAGATTGGTGGAGTTGCTTCCATTGCTCCAGGAAAGGCAGTTTGCTTATTTAAACTTCCTTGCAGTGCTGTGTCTCCCAAAGCAGAAGCCAGGCAGAAAGCTGAATTCTTCACACCTTCATTCCTACAAGACTCCCCAAAAGACATTAATATTCTGACCAAATCTCAGCCAAAAACCTGCCTGAGCAGGAAGTTTTGCGACATGCCACATGATTAAATAGCCAGAGTATAGTTGTCCATTCAGTGCTATCACAGAGTGGTTGGGAGCTGTACCAATTGCTTTATTATTGCATTATTTCCTAATAATGTCTGTAGGACAAGCTAAATATCCCTCACTGGCCTTACGGAGGTAAGTATTCTTTCTGTTCTAAACTCTTATGAAACTGTCTTATGCAGTTAAATTATTGCCACCTGTCCTTCCAAAGGTGTTTGAATTAATATCTTTCCAGATAAGGCTAGTTAAGTACTTTGAATCTTTGAAAATAAAAAGCACACATGTAGAAATAAATGGAGTATTATGAAGATCCTTAATATTTGTTCAAGCTGTTATTAATTGAGATATTAAATGGATAGGGGACAGAAATTAAGTACAAATAGTTTGACATAAAAAGCATTGTTTAAAGCAAAGTTGAATTAGTTCTAAGGCATTGTTTTTTACTTTCACAATTGGTGATTATTTTTAATTTATCAAACCCCATTTTTTTTTACATAGGTGATAATACAGTGGTACCCGTGTCTGAAAGTTTCTGTGACAGTTGGATATAGGGGTGAATAGGAAATTCAAAGATGGTTGTCTGTGGCAGTACTTCTGGGGCAGCATAAATCCTGACTCACCACTGGATTAATTCAATATTATGAAGCTTGATTTTTCTAAAAAATAGAAAGTAACTTGGGAAGTATAACAATTTCTCACTGACATGCAATGAGTGAAAAAGTGAAAAGTGAAAAGCTAAATATATCCCTTCCTTCCTCACCTCTTTTAGCTGGCTCAATTCCGCACAATCCTGTCTTCTGCTGAAGGGGAAGCACCTTGTCCCACACTGAGCAATCACCAGCAATCCCAACTGCTGAAAGGCAGAGTGGTGAGAGGCTAATTCCAGACAACCAAAGCAAATCTGGAGAACAGCCTGCTCATCAAGAGCAACACATCCAAACAAAGACCACGGAAAAATCTACCACAGAAATGAGAACGTGCATGTGTTCTTAGCTGCAATATTCCTGTCCTGCCAGAAGTAGTTGTAATTCACTGTGGCATTCGGCTAGTGCTTTTACTGGAATTAATCTATATTCTTTTTGTGGTAGGCAACTAATCTGTTTTAATGCATGACTTTTAACAGTGAAATGTACTGTAAAATTTTTAATGAATCTTCACATTCCTTCTGATGTTCTAAGTAAACTGTGGTGATAAGAAGCAAAGTAATTGTTCAGAGTCAAATGAATCAGTACTCAGCTTCCCACAAAGGGAGTTTATGCAACTGTATGAGATATCTGTTATTTTTTGCAATGAAATTGATACCATTAATGGCAATTACTAATGGGTTATTGTTGATTTGGCTAATAAAAATGGTTTCTTTTTCGAGTTTAGCTGATATATGCCTGATTAAAATTTAATAAAGAAAACGCTTTGAAATTAAACAGTATTGTAACAGTGCTATGCTAACAGTGTTTTAAAAGAAATTGTGTGACAATTGCTCTTTTATTTCACCTGCAGATCTAATAAAAGATTATTAGACATATATCCATGGAAAAATAAAGCACCTTGGTCTGACTGTACATTTAATTCAAACACTTACAGCACCAGTTTCACTATTTCTCAAGCAGAGCAGTACTCAGCTTTGCAAATGGCTCCAGCAGTGACAAATGAATTATTTAATAGCCAGCAGTGTCAAAGGTCTGAAGAAGATAAAGTCAGAGGAACAACATAAAGCATTAGAACAGCAATTAGGTTTCTAGTTGACCCCATTATGTAACTTAAATGTTATTTGACTGAAATGACGAAGAACCTTCATTAAATTACGTAAGTGACTATTATCTGTTGGGGTTTTGCAGCACATGTTGCTACAGATATAGTTTCTTCTTTACCATTTGCATGCTTTTGACTATACAGTAAAAGCAGTGCTGTAAACATTTACAGTTCCTCACACTTCCTCTATAAAGTACAGAAAATTTTCAGATCCATGTTCCCAACATATTCAAAAGCTGAATTGCTTTAAATGCAAAATACCACCTCTGCTGCAGTCAGCTGCATTCAGTGGGACATACTCCTAGGTCCACCTTTTCAGCTAACCAGTGTGTGTACCCAACAACTGGATCAATAAGGCCTTGGTCTGTGACTCGCCACCATAATCTAGTGGCAACAATTATCATACCAGAACATGTGAAATGAATAACTAATTACTTGCCCCAATCAAATTATCTTATACCTGGTTGGCGTGTGTACCCTTACTGCCTTGTGCCATTAGCCTGTTAAGCACAATGACAGAAGTCAAGACTCCAACTTAATTCAATGCAATGCATTTGTAAGAAACACAATAAAATCATACCAAGACCTATCTTTATTCCGTTCCAAAACAGATGCCACATTTATGGCTAACTTTCCATATGAAATAGGTTTTGAGATATCACAAGCAATTTTCACCTGAAAAAAAGGAGGTCATTTAGTCTTATTCTCCTAGCTTGGAAAGAAAAGAAAAATTGTTAATTTAAAGTGCAGAAGAGTGAGCACAAACTGCAGACAAGCACACAGCAGCTAAAATGTAATACTTCAGCTTAGTCTTAGACCTCCACCTTTATGAACAAGAATCTCCCTTTTGTCAGAAAAGTTTCTTTTCCTAATAATATCAATCCCTGATGCAGAATCATGAACAAAATGGGAGCTCACCCATGAGCATGGGAATTATGAGTTCAGTATTCAAGAGCAGTCTCCATTCTGTGCTAATTAAAAAGCAAACAAATCAACATTCAGATATTCCTGCCATCCTCATCAGCAATACCTATTTCCTATTACCTTATTAAGCAGAGCTAGTGAAATGCCTCTTTCTGTTCACAAACTTACAAAAGAATTACAAAGAGGCCAATAATTCCCTCAGGTAATTGATACCTTCTTAATGAGCGATCCTGAAACCACACTGCTGGTCTCTGCCTTAGCGCAACAACTGCATCATCCCTTTAACTGCCATGAACAAGAAGATAATAATTTTCACTCCTCTCAGTTCTCCAGAAAAAAATCTGATGGTGCTTGTGGGAAAAGTGAGAACAGACACACAGCTCTTCAACTGAAAACAGTTTGACTGGTTTCAGAGCAGGCATCTTCCTTGTGATGGCAAAAAAATTAAACTTCACAAAGAGAACACAACGGGCACACATTTGAGAAATGGGAACAAATGTTGTTAGGCAGAACAGCTTCCTATACATTGCTGTTTCATTCAGAGTCTCTTTAAAAAGCTCTCTAACTAGTGTCCTGAGCTATATCTTGTGATTTCTCAGATTTAGAGTGGGCCTGAGCTGCAGAGCTGTGGGTTCAATCAGTTGGAGACCTTTGCATGTGTGCACAAGGGTGACAGGAAGTGGGCAGCTGGATCTACTGGTTTGTCTCAAGTTCATCTCCAACATAAATGACTTCACCCTGCTTCTTTTTGTGTAACTTCTTCGTAAAATTACTTTAATAAAATACATGGTGAAAACATCAAGTAAGAACAACTGTGAAAATCAAATGGATCTGATTATGACAACCAAGAAAATGAATAAGCAATTCATAGTCTAGGAAACGGTAAGGCAAAGGAAATGTCCTTGACTTGATCAAGGAAAGCAAGCTCATTTCACAGTATCTCTAGATTTTGACTACCAGTGAAGGAGAGATCTCTTATCTTTATAGCAAAGAAAGAGAACAAAATACAAACAGGATTTTATTTTAAGACATAAAGCTATCACGATATTGACATCTAATGGTACTTGCTGGCAATATAAAAGAGATGGAAAGGAAAATTACCCAGTGCAGTAGTTTGGGTGATTTCTCAATGCCAAAGACTTGAGGAAATTACACCGAAAAACATAAATATTTTAAGTCTTATTTTAAGAATACCATTTCTGTCTCTTACCAGAATGAATTGTTTTTGCATTAGCTGCTCAATATTTTATCCATACATAAAAATATTGGTATCTGTGTGCTGTGCACCAATAGCCAAACCCCACAGTAAATCACCTTTAGTCCCAAATGACAGAGAAACATGCAAATGCAAGCTACCACAGACACAACTCATCTAGAGAACAGCTAAGCTTCTCCTCATCTTGCGAAGTCTTTCAAAATACAGCAACTCTGCTAAAATAAAGTTCCCTTCTGTAGCTCCACAGCTGTGAAAAAGTAGTTAATGCTTAGCATTTAGCATCTGATCAGCAGAATGGGCTTCAGGTCAGGCTCCAGCAACCCCTTCCATTTGACCTCTGCTGGGCACATTAACTAGGACTCCTTCATTGGGGTTATAGGACAAAATTGGGTTGGTTAATGTTCCACATTCAATTTTTCTTTAGAAAATCCTTCCTAATTCAACTTTTCCCTCATGTTGAAGTAAGGAGTGTACTGTTAGAACCACAAAGGCATCAACTGGTAAGTGTGCTTTGAGAATGCCCAGATAAAACCCTGTAGATGAGAGAGCCTGAGGAGGCCTAGTTAATAGCTCCTGATACAGCTTAGGGATTTTACTGTGGGGTCTGTAGATCTTTTGGAAAAGGAAAGACCTTGTACAAGAAGTCTCACTTCCTTCACAGGACTTTCTGGGAATCCTCTGCATCTTTAATCCCATCTATAACAGGCGCAGCAATGCAGGGCTGCAGTGCTGAGCAAGCCCAGCGGCACAGGATGGGAAACACAGGGCTTGGAAGCAGGTAGCAACAACGCTGGGCAGTGGAAGAAACCACTTAAAACTGAAGTCAGTTGCAGTAGACCATTTAGAAAATGTCCAGATGTAATACTACATCTTGAACGTTTTAAAATTGTTTTTCAACTCCAGGTGCTTGTCAAAATCAACACATTCGCTAGCTATTCTGAATTTCTTGAGTGCGTTATTTATCGAAGAAAAGAAAAGAAAAAAATTGCTGAAAAATCCCGCCAGGATTAATGGTGTACTGCTGCCTATGTTATGGTAATGCATTATAGCTTCCTTGTATGCTTTATTCAAATTTTTCTGCATTAGCACAGAGCTCAAATAAAATGCATTTATTTTTTGACTGCTTAAGCCATTAAGTCTTTGCTTATGCTAAGCAATGCTCTGAGGTAACCAAGAGATTACACCATAAAAACTTTAAAATCAACAGACTAAATTGTGCCACAAAGTTCACCATAGTGTAGCTAGAGCCAAGTCAGCTTAAATAGTATATGTGTAGGAAAAATACACCTATGGGATTGTGTTCACGTCAGTACAGTATACTGTGACTAATTTCTTTAAGGGCTATCCCTTGCAGCACTAAGTCAGCCAAAGGTGTAAGGTTCCTCTCAGAAGGGTGCTAAAGGAGCCTGTGTGACAACGAGGCACCTGCTCCCCTGAGGGACCAAGTGCCCTTCATCCCCAAGGCGTCCCGCTGGCTTCCAGCAGATGAGCAAAGGGTGGTGCTGCCACAGGGCGCTGGCCTGCCGGGGTCCACGGAGCCCGCGTGGATGCAGGACCAAGCTGTGCCATTTTGGGAGCAGTGATAGCAGCAGCACTTTCTGTTCCTGCAGCCTGAAACGAGCACTTCCCTCATCGCCAAACTATTGCCACCTGATGATCCCCTTTTAGATATCCATTACATTCACTTCCTATTTTGTCTGTGGAGAGCTACTGCTCACATTTGGATAAATCTGTGAAATCAAGAGGCTGGAATATCTTATCCCTGATATTCACTGTATTGGGCAATGTGTAGCCTCTGCTTAATTTTCTCATAAATATACACACACACACTCCAGGGTGGAAATTTAATAGTGAGCTGGGGAAAGCCCCAAGCTTCCCTTTCTCTTCCCACCGTAGGGGGGAATCAGCTTCATTCCTTACATACCCTTTGAACAGCATTTACCCCTCCTCAGGACACCCGTGAGCTTAAATCCATCCTGCCCAAGCAAAGAGAAACCCAAGGATGGTCGAGGGGCAAGCGAGTGTGTCGCATGCCCGGCGGCTCTTGGCGCATGTCGCTCAGCAGGATGATGGCTGCCGGAGCGACGCCTCAGTAACCGGATACAGCAGGGCCAGCGTGTGTCCACCAAAACGCTGCCGCAGAGCATGGCTGGGGATGGGCCTGTGGCTTGGCTGTGCGTGACCCACACCAGGCCCCGGCTGCAGCCGCATCTTCACTGAATTCAGCCCCAGCTGAGCCCGCTGGCCGCCCAGGCTCACCCCCGCTTAGATGAGCGCTGGCTTTGTCAGCGTCGGGTAAGACAGTTTCCTAAGCAGCATTTTTGTCCTTTTGGTCACAAAAACATACGACACACACAGGAATCCTGGTGGCACGAGGATGTGCTTTTTTGAGGCACCACAAATTTGATTTGTGGTGATGATTTGGCCTGCTCTTATTCTCACTGAAATCTTTAGCAAACTCCCTGTTGACTGAAGCGGAACAGGACAAAGCAGTGAATGAGGCCGAAAGACTGAAAAAAAATAGTGTCTGGCATGACAAAATCTAATGCAATAAAACCTCATCTCTACCTGGGACATTCAGTTACCAGAGCAATGTAATAACATGAATCAATATAAAAGACCAACTCATGCACTACCAATACTTTTATAAATGGTAACTTTGAACATACCCTTTCCTGCCCTGCTGTAAACTCACTCCTTCAGATGGAGGGGTGTTAATCAGGAGAGAACTGAGGGCCAGGGCAATCTGGTCATCTGGGCCACCCCTTGAAACCAGTCTGCTTCCTCATGATAAAGAGACACTAGCCCTTGGCACACCAACAACATGCTGTCAGGAAACGTTTAGATTTACCCTTGAAAAATGTGTTAGGACAGATTTGGTAGTAGTGGCACAAAAAACTGTCAGCAGCTGATGCAACAGGACCACCCCTGTCTTATCGGGACGTTCCCCATGAGGAAGAGCAAGGAGGGGGACATCCACAGCTGCTGCTGTGCAAGCGATTGGGCTTCCCTGCAGTCCTCTGGGGGAGGCCAGATCTGCACGTCCCCCTCCTTCCCTCACCAAACTGTGCGCTCTTCCATTGATTCGCACTGTTGTGAAGTGTGGTCTAATATCCTTTCACAGAACCTTATTTCTTAATTATCTTCATGGAACCATACAGGCCCTTTCTGCAATGGCAACATACTTTGGAGGCATGGTCCAGTAGAGCCATTGTGTCTTCTGTCTGTGAAAATGCACAAATGCAAGAGGAGTGCCTGAAATGGTCACACTCCAACTATTCAGAGTGCTTTCAGCCCTTGAACAAGTCCTATAGGATTAACATTAGGCAGGATTTTACAAGGCTGCCAGATAAAGATGTTGCATTTTGCATTTCCATTACATTTCCCACATTACTTTCCCACAGCAAAGTTTGTAACATGGATTCTTTTATTATTGGTTCAAGGGAGAGAAAGGCTCCAGGAAAAGCCTCCAGACAGCTTTAGATAATTATTGCAAAGGAAAGCTCTGCCAAGACCTACAGAATTGTTTCCTATTTTACTCATTGTACCCTGCTTCTGGCCTCCTAGGTTTCCCTGGTATGAACATTGCTGACCTATCCTGTGATCCTTTAGCCTTCCTTCCAAGTATTTGTTGTATGCATATTTCTTTCTTCAAGTGACATTTTAACTCATTTGAGCATATCTGATTGATGAGAGGGAGGTGGAGAACAGATGTTTGGCTTAAGCGGTTGCAAGACCAGACACTTGTGTACAGGAGATCAAGCTCTAGACCTGTTTCTGAAATCTCATTTCTGTGATACTACAGCAAGTTGGGCCAGTTGTGAAAGGAGCATAGAGTGAATTCAAATAAATGATTCAACAGAACAATATTGTAAGTATAGAGGAGTATATATTAAAACCAAATTGTGTTCAAGGCTGTGACGTACACAGTGTTCATACTCGTGTTCTTCTGTGGATGTCCAAGCATAAAGGGATATAGTTATTCTAGTGGGAGGGTTAAACTAATATTAAGATTCAGCAACTACTCCTGAACCCTTGTTTCCAAAAGTTATGCTTTGAAGTCTCTAAGCATCACAACAGAAGTGACCCAACTTTCCACAGGGCTGGAGCTGCCATTAAGTAGGAGATCTCTCAGGTAGTCAGTACTTCAAGGAAATTAAAAGCTTCTTTTTAAATGGCTAATCAAGGGGTTAAGTACCAGTTTGAAAATACTGATGTGATGTGACTACTGCAAAACCACAAAGAAAAATGGTGAGAAGTTAGAAACGGAACAGGGTTTCTACCCATGCTAGAGGTGGCTCAGCCCCCTAGAGCAGACCTACGATTAAAACACAGCTTTCCAAAAACACCTTCTACTGCTCTCCCTGAGACAGATACGTGACCTGCCCCTGGCCTAAAGTCAACTCTTCCCACACATCCATTTTTCCAGGTTGCAAACCAGAAAGCTCCTCTTTCCTCATAGAGAAAGAAGAGGCAGCCCAACTTCTAATTGCTCCCATCCTCCTTAATCTCACCCACATGCTCCTGGCTTTGACCGCAGGACCAGTTGGTTCTAGTTTGACCACATACCTAACAAAGACGGTGGTTGTTTCCACAGTTAAATCAGCATTCACTTATGTGCTGGCTTCTGTGACACAAAAATCTTAAATTTCTGCTGAAAGACAACAGACTTATGAATGGAACAAGCATTGATACACCCATTTTGCAAATAAGGAGAAGCACAAGAAAGGCTTACAATAGGATTCAGAAGATGCATTTTGGCACCTAAAATGAAACAGGATGAATGCCAGTGGCTAAATTCAGTAGAGAACTCTCGAAAGCGTATGCCAGCCTACCTCGCATTTACAAGACTTCTAAATACCACTGTCATGCAGTGGTGCCCACGCAGAAGCCAGCTTATGGAGATTTAAGTGTCCAGACAAGGTGTCACACAGGCGCTCCAGTGGGATTCAGAAAGGAGAGAGGTGCTGGTGAAGCCCCAGGTCATACTGCTGCACATGGTACTCCTAGCACCCACCAGAAGTGTTAGCCATGCCCATAGTAGCAACTGGAGAGGGACAGGACTTGGCCATGGTCAAGTGGAAGCTTCCCAGCGTGGTTTTGGCAAACATCAGCTCGAGCTCTCTGCAAGAGGGCCCAGACAGCGTGAAGTGATTGTTTCAAATAGACCACATGGAGGAAGGTGCCCAGGTAAGTTCAGCTGTGCAGACTCAAGACATGTTCTTGAGTCTCATGGCCCTTGTTCCAGGATCAGAAAGTGGGCCCTGGCTTGCTTTATTTACCACGATAGGCACAGCTATTAAGTTCACTGCAAAGCACAGCAAATATGCTCTATTTCCCTCTGGAAAAGGAGGGGGTGTTGGTACACTCATTCAAGAACTAGGCGGCTTTTCCCTGCTCAGCCTGAGGGATCCCTGTTGCCTCTGCAAGTGCCCTAATGGGCAGGCTTCGAACCAGCCCTTCAGGAGGCATCTGCTACACTGGTTTCTAACATAAACTCTTCACTTCTGTTAACTCGATAGTACTTACATTGTAGGTGTGATATTATGCCTCTTTTAACTCAGAAAATAAAGTGATAGCAACAAGAACATGCAACTAAGTAATTTCTTTTTAACTATCTAGCCATTCATTTGGTTACTGGTTTTATACCTTGGCTGGGTAGCTTTTTCCCTGTCAAATGAGAAAGGTAACTCTTAGTGCCAGTAAGAAGCATTAGCTAATGTTTTTACAGTGCCTACTGTAAGCAAGAGTGCTAAGTACTAGAAGTGAAGCACATCTTAGCACTCAAAGACCTGCATGCTAAATAGTTGACCCAGTGCCCAGACTGGGACAACTACTGACTCTGAAGAGGCTGAATATAGCCTTAAGCTATAACAGAAAGGAAGTCCAGTACAGACATATGAGTAACAACATGTAAAGCACAACTAAACAGCAATACATCCTTTTCAGAAAAAGAAATGGAGCTTTCTCTTTTTCGATAGAAAGCAGTTCAGTCAGTCACATTTTCCTCTTGCATGAATTACTGGATGCAAGATGCAAGAGAAAATTCTTTACTATCTTTTTTTTTAATCTCAACCAATTTTAGCAGGAGCTAAGTGCAAGTGACTCTACAAACACCCCTGAACACACTGTCAGTCACTAGGGGAAAGTGAAGCACAATCATGAGAATTCTGTATTATTTAAGCAGTATCACACCTAGGTAGTGTGTATACCCGAGTGCTGTTCAGCTCCGATATCCTGGGTGTTCCCACTCCGCTATGAGATGGCCGCACTGCAGGGCGAGACTACTAGATTACTTCCTGATTGCCACAACCCAGAGGTGGGGGCAGTGCAGGTTGTATACACCCTCTGTACACCGACACAGAGGGTGAAATCTAGATTGGTAAAAATGAGAGTTACCCAATAAATTAAAAAAAAAAAAATAAAAGCAGGCCGGAAAACAACATTTTAGTAATTCATTGTTGTGTCCACAATTACAACTCTCTCTGTAATCACACAGATCTATTTCCAGTTAATGCACATTTGCAGTGTGCTTGTGTGAACCAGGAAACCTGCCTTGGGTCCTAGCAGTGATATTTAGATATGTCATAACTGAGAGAGACAGGTAGGCAAACGCTTTCTGGAGCCTCACACTGAGAGTCAGGTGAAAGCAGTGCCATGGCTGAAGTGAGCACCACTGTTCACCTGAATCTGTCAGGAAACAAGCAGAAAGTGGTTTCAAATAACTGGTCAGATTTTCTATATGAATCTTTACTGTTCCCTTTGCAAAAAACCTGCTCAATGATGATCACCTGTGCTCAGTTGTATTTATCGCATGTGTGAATTTGTCCTTGCATGGAACTTGCTCCCAGAGATTCGGGCACCAGCACAGTCTGATCTGCTGCCCATGCTCTGCCCAGCGGCTTCCCATATGCTCAGGGAAGTCCAGCTAAGCCAGAACATGGCTGGACCTACAGAGCCTGCTTGGTAGCGCTTATGTGGCCATGCATAGTCCATATGATCCTTTAAATCTGAACGTCTTTCGTTATGCATCTGAAAGTAATCGGTTTTTTCATAATCCTTCTTTCACTTTTAAGAAAGGGAGTAAGTCACAATC